CTGATCATAGTTATTTTTAGTAATGCTGTATTAACAGGGACTTTAATTTTGCAGTTTTTTTCCCCCTGTGTGCCTTTGGACAAGTTATATATCAACTCCCTGAGACTCAGTTTCCCCACCTATTAAATTGGGATCTCCAGACCTACCTCAGGGAGGGTGGCAGGGAAGGTTGGATAGGATGGGAGTGAAACACTGAGCACAATACCTGCTGTCTGGTGAGTCCTTTTAGACACAAAGCTCCCTAAAGGTGGATTCCATGCCAGCCTTATTCACCCCAGTCTCTCTATGTCTGGCACATAGTTGTTGACGTTAAGTGCCTTCGAGTCAGTTCCAACTCATAGCAACCCTGTATAGGGTTTCTGAGGCGTAGCTGGGAAATTGAACCTCCTACCTTGTGGTTCAAACCGACTTTGCATTCCATTGCATTATCCCTCAATTCTACATCAGGATCCCTGGCACATAGTTGTTGTCGTTGTTAAGTGCCGTCGAGTTGGTTCCGACCCATAGTGACCCTGTATAAGGTTTCCAAGGAGCAGTTGGTGAGCTTGAACCTCCGACCTTGCAGTTCAAATGGCTTTGCAGTCCGCTACATTAACCCACAGCACCACATCAGGACTCCTGGCACATCATAGGTGTTCAACAAATAGTTCTTTATTGAATGAATGAGTCACTGGGGACAGGGATCACACTTTACTCATCTTTGTATCTATCCTGAGACTAGTGCAGTAATTCCAATAAATGTTTACTGACAGAGTTAATAATAAAAATTTTTGAATTTCCCAGTTCCACTCAAGTTTCTGAGTTAAACTGAGAACAATATTTATTAACTGATCCCAAATCTGCCTAAGCCTTTTGTGTTCTTATCTGTAAGATGTAATGGCTATTAATAATATGTGCCTCATCAGGTTGTACTGAAAAATAAATGAGGCAATGCTTTGGGCATATAAAAATATGTTAGCGCATTATTGTTTCCTTCCCAGGGCCTTGGTTTCTTCAACTATGAAATAGGCATCCATGCCTTCATTTATGCTAACGAGAGCAGAAAGCCTCATCTTTCTCCCAAAGAACTGCTAGTGGATTCAAACAGCTGACTTTCCAGAACCCACTATGCCACTAGTGCTCCCTAGTGGTGGTGATGGAAGTGTGCTGTGGAATTGGTTCTGATACACGGCAACCCTGAATAGAGTTTGTTGTTAAGTGGCTTCAGTCAAGTAGGTTCCGAGGCTATAAATCTTTACGGGAGCAGAAAGCCTCATCTTTCTCCCATGGAATGACTGGTAGTTTCGAACTACTGACCCTGGGGCTAGCATCCCGACTGGTAGCCACTATGCTACCAGAGCTCCTTACCAGAGTTTCCTAGGGTAGTTAAAGAGGCAAGAAAGGCCTAGGACAGTTAAGAGGTCTGGGATAGCACATAGTAAAACTCAGTGGGGGAATAGCCACAGTCTGTATGAGGTCTGTGAGGGCCAGAGGTGTGGGGCCAGGGAGCTCTCACCAAGTTTTCTGTGAGGCAACTTAGAGGACTGACAAAGGTCCTGTTGTCACCATCTCTATGTAACCACCCACATTGCATCAGTTTAAAATGAAGTTGCTCCCTGTGGGCTCTAGCTTTTGTAGACTGCTCTGCAAAATGCATGTCAGTTCTGCCGCAGTCCAACTTTCTACCGAGCCTCACCAAGCAGGTCTGGGACTCACAATGAGAATCCAATTCAAACAAGCATTTCCTTCTGAGACCCAGCCTTTCCTTCCTCCCCTTCTCCTGGGTCCTACCTTCTCAGGGGAATACACAGTGATTCCCTTACACTCTCAATGCAGAATAAAGCAGACCATGCCTCCGTGCAGGGAAGGCCCCTGCTTAGTTCTACAACATAAACCTGCTCCTTCCCCAGGTGGGGCCTGATAAAGAGATGCTTGAGTACTGGGGACTTGGGAGAAGCCAGGTCTCTGGGCTCCTGCATCCAAGTGGGTCACATGTTTGTCTCTGATGTTCACAGTTGGCTCTAGGGAACTGACTCCTGCCAACCAAATTCATGAGAGACTGGAACTCCTGAATTAGAGAGTTTCATTTACACTGGGCTTATGGGATTAAGAGGGTCTATGGCACTGTGGGTTAATGTGCTGGACTGTAAAGTCGTTTGAACTGCAACATTAGTGGTTCAAGCTCACCAACCATTCCTCAGAAACCCTATACAGGGTTGCTAGGGGTTGGAACTGACTCAACGGCAGTTAACAACAACAACAACATTCATATCTAGTGAGCAAAATATTTGTACCTGTTACCCCAAACAGCCTTTTGTTTTTAATTGGAAGAAATGTACAGGCTAGGGCTATTTAAATACCAGGGGAGGGTCTGCTGACAGTGACTTGGCCAAGAAAGGAGGGTAGGGTCTAAGTTCTGGCGGCCCATCTACAGCAGGCCTCAGGGAAGAAGCAAGATTTACGAGGTGAGAGCCTGCCTGGGCCGCTTCTGTTGGGGAAAGGCCTCCCTGCAGTATTTCTGTCTCGTCAACGCTGCATTTCATTTTAAATTGCAGCCGAAAGCAGATATTTTCCCTCTTGCCTATTACACCTCTTAATTTGTCTCTCCCTCTGCTGTTATTTGTCTCTATAAAGTATTTTGCATGAAAGACCCACACAGCATAATGTTGCTTTGCCTTGGGATAGGTTTAATACAACGAGAAAACACAGGGAGACTTAAGTTCAATGAGGAAGGAGGAAGAGTCTTGGATGGAAAATCACGTGTCTGAGTGAATATACCTGACAGTGTGCATGCTTTAGATGTGGTACTTGTTGTCTGACAGTGTCTGTATGCACATGTCAATATTTATACACATAGATATGTCTGTGTATACTTGTGGTTCTGTATAATCACCATACTTAAAGTGCTTTTTGTGCAAGTACACAGCCCCACGCCTGTGTGCATTGCTGTTGTAAAACACTATCAAGTGGGTTCCGACTCACAGCCACCCTGATGAGGTTTCCAAGGAGTGCCTGGTGGGTTTGAACCGCCGACCTTGTGGTTAGCAGTCCAGTGCTGATCCAACAGCGCCACAGCACTTATGTATAGAAGCACATGCGTGTACACAGGCGCATATAAACCAGATGATGTTTGTGTTCCTGTGTCCACGCCCAGGGTTTCTCCTCCCCTGGCCCTCTCCAGGCTGTGGTTATCCTCTCCCTGCCCCACCCGGTGGCCCTGGCCCAGTTTGAGGTTGTGTAAAAAGGAAGACAGAGCAGTGGTCTGCCGGGGGCCAGTGAAAACAAGCTTTTTGGCTTGTCTCCAGCCGCCCCCTCCCTCACAGCCGGCCACAGCAGCCCCACTGTAGCTCCCGCAGAAGCTCAGGACCCCTGAAAACCGTGGGCCCGCAGCTGCCAATCTCGGGCAGCCCTGAGGGATGAGACAGGTCACCCAACGACCGACACAAACCTCCAGATAAGCCCTATCCCCTGCCCCCGCCGACTGACCAACAACTGTATCTGCGCGGGTGGGGTTAGGGGAGGGGGTCTCCGTCCTCCTAGTCCAACAAACGCACAGGCAGTAACCAATGGGCGACTGCAGCCCAATGGGGGATCCCTCTAAGGCAGCCAATGACCTCGCTCCGCTCTCCACCCCCCCCCCTCCCCGCCCTCGCCAGCCCCGCGCAGCTGGACCATTGGTGCTGGTGGGATGGGGGGGAGTGTGCGCCGTGTTGGCCATTTGAGGTAGGGGGCGTGTCCCTTCTCCCCACCCTCGTTCATCCCCCGCACCCACTACCCTCTGTCGCGAGGCCATTGGCCTGGCTGCTGTGCCGCCGGGGAGGAGGGCACGGGGAGCGCGCAGGTGGGCGTGGCCGGAGGGCGTGGTCCGGCAGGAGGCGGGGCCGCGGGAGCTGTCGCAGTGAAAGCCAGAGCGGGTGGCGGCGGCGGCGGCGGCGGCGTCGTCCGGGCGGGTGTGCGCGCTTGTGGGGCGCAGGCTCGGCAGTGGCGGCTCAGCCTGCGGCGGCGGCGGCAGCCCGTCTGGAGCGGCCGCTGCGAGGACGCCAGCTGCAGCGGGGGAGGCGCTGCCCCGGCTGTGCGCTCCGTGGAGACGGCGTGGGCCGGGAACAGGTGATCCCAGCGGGAGCCCTGTGCCCTGCCGAGTTGGCGGGCGGGAGCCCGCGCTCCCGGGTTCAGCTGCAGCCGCCCAACTGCGGCTCGTCGCGGACGGCGTCCGGCATCTGATCCAGGCTCGGGCATCCCTCTGGTCTCTTGGGGCCCAGCCGGCCCCTTACCCCTTCAGGCTTTGGCAGCACCCACTCCCAATCCCAGGAGCCCGCCCCGCAGCGGAGCAAAGTTGTGGACGTGTCCTGATAGCCGAGCCCGAGCGCTGTCGCGACCCGGCCAGGGCGGCGCGCTCTCGAAGCGGAGCGGACACGCCAACCCCGCCACCGCCTCGCCCCCACAAGCCAGCCCCCTCAGGAAACTGCTTCTGAGGTTGAAACTTTGGGCGCCACCGCGCGCGGGAGAGAGGCCGAGGGGCCGAGGGCGGTTCGGCGCGGGGGACGAGGACGAGGACGTTGCCTGGCCCCGGCCTGCGGACGCCCCTCCGAGCTGACAGCTTGGGCGCTGCGGACGGCATGTGACGGCCCCAGTGGTGGCCGCAGCGCGGGAAGGCTCGGGTCCCGCGGGCCGGCCACTGCGGGGAGGGGCTGCGCAGCGGCCGGAGGAGAGGCTGCAGCGCGCGGCTGGCCATTGCGGGCCCGGGCCCCGAGCCGTGCCGCCCGGCTCGCCCGGGCCCCGCTGAGGCCGCTGCGCCCCCGCCTCTTCGTAGGAGGACTCTCTCCAAACTCCCGGAACTTCAGGGGGAAGTCTCAGAAACATCGAAACTCTCCGGGTTGACAGCATTGCCCGCGGGCCCCCACCCCACGCAGAACCCCAGGACACACACTCCCTTTGCCCAGCCTTTGCTGCCACGTGCTTGGGTTCCGAGGTTCCCAGAGGCCCTGGACGGTGCTGACTGTCCCCAGCCTGACTAGGCCACGATGCTCATGAGGAAAGTGCCCGGTTTCGCCCCGGCCTCTGCTTGGGGGCTGCGGCTGCCGCAAAAGTTCCTCTTCCTTCTCTTCCTCTCTGGCCTGGTCACCCTGTGTTTTGGGGCCCTTTTCCTGCTGCCCCACTCCTCTCGCCTCAAGCGCCTCTTCCTGGCCCCCCGGACCCAACAACCCGGCTTGGAGGTTGTGGCCGATGTCGGTGGCCACCCTCTGGTCCGAGAGCAGGAGCCGGCTCCCAACCCAGCCCCAGCTGCGCTGACCTCCGGTGAGAACAACCCTTACAATCTGGCCGATCACCTCCGCAGAAAAGGGTGGCCGCGTCGCACCCGCCCCACGGGGCTCCGGGAGGAGGCCACAGCGGCTCGGGTCAGTAGCATCGCAGCCCTCAGACCCCAAGAAAGGAACCTCCCTTTTCGCTTTGACTTCAATGCGTTCCGGAGTCGTCTCCGTCACCCGGTGCTGGGGAGGAGACCCGAAGAGAGTAAGGAGCCTCAGAGCCTAGTGCGAGCCCAACGAGAGAAAGTTAAGGAGGTAAGGACCCCCGCCCCTAATCCCATAACATAAATTTAACCCTTGTGTTTCCACCCATTCCCACTGATCCTAATCACTCCCGGACCCTGGTCCACCTAGGCCCTCCAGGTACTGTCTGCATCCTTCTCCCAAACTTCCCCACTTCTTATCCTCTCCACAAACCACATACCCAACCCAGCCCCTGAACCAGCTTCTCTGATCAGTCTTTCCTGTCCAGTCCCCCTGGTGGGCTCCAGTAACCACTCCACCTTCCCTTTGTGGAGGTCCTGGTGAGACTGGAGTTCCAGTTCCTAACCAGGCACCCCTGCCCATGTATGTGCAGACAGGAAGCGACGAATCACACTCATTTTCACTGCTTGTCCTAAGTTCCAACCTCCTTCAGAGCCCGTAGGACCTACTACCAAGAAACCCAGAGTGTGGGGGCTATTTGGTGTTCTGCAAGTATTTCGTAATCCAACCAGCAACCTACAAACCAGAGGATAGTATGCATTCTTGCTAACCGTTTCTACTGAGCTTTAGAGCAATTGTACGTAACCACATGTGACACAGGAAACAATGATCGATAAAGCAGTGGTAATGTTATACAAAGGGGCCCTGGTGGTGTAGTGGTTAAAGCGCTCAGCTGCTAACCCAGAAGTTGGTTATTTAAACCCACCAGCTGCTCTGTGGGAGAAAGATTCTATAAAGATGTACAGCCTTGGAAACTGTATAGAGTAGTTTTACTTTGTCCTTTAGGGTCGCTGTGAGTCCAAATCTACTTAACGGTATTGGGTTTGTTTTTTTGGTTTAATGTTACAGAGACTCTGAGGTTATTGGCTTAATGAAGGAGGTCTTGGATTTGTTCCCTGTAGGGATTGGACCAGGGAGGGATTTGGAAGGATGACTTTGAATCTGAGTCTTAGTTTAAGTAAACAAAAACAAATATAACCTCACCTTGGCTTTAAGACCATTGCCAACTCACCAATGGTGATTAAATATTCTGCTTGGCCACAGTGAGAGTTGCCTGTATATAAGGTTTGTACCCAGCAGTGCAGAGTGGATGCAGTGACACCCCCAGGCCACAAGGGGGCTATGGGCAAACTGTGGGCTAGGGTCTCCTCCCACAGAAGAGAGAAGGTTTCCCCTTCCCCACAGCTCTAGGAGAAGACTGCTTCTGTCAGTACTTCTTTGGTTGCTGTAAAGGAGCTCAGCCCTAATTTCCAGAAAGGGCAGCAGCACGGGTTAGGACACCCCTGCCAAGACCTTGTTGGAGCTGGTGTAGAGCTTGGCTGTTCCTTTTCCTTGTCCAGGCTGTCTTCTTCCCAATGGCCCCGTATCCTCCACTTCCTTCTGCTGCTATTCAGCGGTTCTGGGCTAAGCTCTGTTTAGAGACTGTCTTAACTAGCAACCACAGGGATCTTGTGAAATCAAGATAGAAAGCCACAAAGAATCTGAGTCTTTATTTCCGTGTGTGTGTGTGTGTGTGTGTGTGTGTGTGAATGTTTGAATGTGTGTGCTCTTACTTTCCAAGTTCTTGTTGAAATCTCAAAGGGTAACTGAAAGCTGGAACTTGCAATAGCAAAGTGGGAGGGGGGCAGACATCTGTGTCTCCCCTTTCTTTTAGGGAACTGTAACTGAATACTCACCTGGACCACCTGCAGCTCCCTTTCTCATAACTGCCTGGGAGCACATTAGCCCTTTTAGCCCTTCTGAACCTCCTGAGAGAGTTGAAACTCCCACTGAAATGACATATAAACTTTGTGTATCCGTTTTTTGTAGGGTGTCCAAAGTTGTCATCAGACAGACATTCAAAAGGATCTCCAGAAGAATTAAGCATTAGCTACTGTCCTCCTCAAAAGAGGAGCCTCTGGCCTTCCAGTGCCTTGAAGGAGCTCAGTGCCTTGAAGGAGAGCCTGTTTAATATGATCAGTGGAAGTCTATGTTGGTTGTTGGGTGTCTAGATCTTTCTGTCTGGCATTCCCTTGCACCCTTGTTAGTAAGATGGAGCATTCTTACGTCTGTGGTTGGTAATCAATGCCTGAGCCTCTGTTACTGTCTTGAAGACCTTTGTTGTTGTTGTTAAGTGCCATCGAGTCAATTCCAACCCATAGCGACCCTGTATAGGGTTTCCGAGGAGCAGCTGGTGAGCTTGAACCGCCGACCTTGCAGTTCAAAAGGTGTTGCAGTCTGGTGCATTAACACACAGCACCACACCAGGACTGCTGTCAAATTGGCTCTTCACTCATGACAATCCCATGCACAATAGAGCAAGCTACTGTCTGGTTCCACACCATCCTTGATGATCAGTGGCGCATAGTAACATCTTGATCCATCTGGTTTTCATTGCAGAAGCAGCTCTCTAGACCTTTTTCCTAGCCCATCTTAGCTGCAAGCTCTGAGGAAACCTGCTCATCTTCATAGCAATACACAAGCCTCCGTGGACAGATGGTTTTGCATGAGATACATTAGCCAGGAATCAAACCCAGGTCTCCCACATGGAAGGCAAGAATTCTCCCACTGAACCAACCGCCAGTGCCCCAATTGGATGCTCCTTAGCATGGAAGGATATTGGACTACATACACTCTATTGTGTTGTGAAGTTTCTCATCTCTTCAGGCTTCTTGAGTTTGTTCTCCCCCACAAGTAACATCAAAAAATGTAGGGCATAGTTTTTAGTTTAGCTGTTAGCATGGAGTTGCCTTCCCGGGTATCTCACCTGGATGAGGAATCCATATGACCATTGCTGAAGGATGTCCTTCCTAGTGTTCTTATGTAAATTTCTAAAAATGCCCACCATTTTTGAGAAGTGCCTGTTTTCACAAAAAGGGCTTTTTGCTTTCTTATCTGGTGTGTTTATTTCCAGCTTAGATTGATTAGGCCCCAGGAGCAGAGGTGGGGTAACATCAGATAAAAAGGGCTCTGTACTTTAAGATGAGGTTTACAAAGTGAAAGTCAACAGGAAGAGAGAATCAGAGAAGGTGATAAATGAGAAGACACCCAGACTCTAGATCAGTGAAGTATATTTATGAACCGTTTCATTTGAGAGATGGACACAGCACAAGGTCTGTGCTGATAAGATGGGTTGGAGCAGCGTGTTCTGGGAGTACGTGTATCAGGAAACAAGTCTATCACTAGAACCAACTCTCGTTCCTCACTTTGTGACCTTGGAACCTTGGAGGAGGCAATGTGGTAGACAGAGGAGACCCAGAGAGCACAGATTCAAGTCTCTCCTCAGTCATCAGCTGGCTGAGCTTAGGCAGTCACCTCTTCTCCTTCCTGGATCTTGTTTTTCCTTCTGTCAAATAGGACAAGAGAGGGAAAGTAGGTTGCTTGTCTATATTCTTCCAACACTGACCTCCAAGGTGGACTGCCAGTCAAGTCAGGAACTCCTTAACAATCAGGTCAGGGACTCCTTAATAGTTGGATTTTTCTTAGATCTGTTTTCAGCATGCCTCAGTTCCATGAGTCTAGGACAATGGCAGCATGTCTTGGTGGTGGTGGTGGCCTTAATATTCACTGTGACATGCCTAGCAACTAAGCAAGAGTAGAAACCCAAATAGTTGATGACGTTAATTATTCCCATCACACATGTTGGAGATGAAACATGTTGTTAAATGCTGTCAAGTCAGTCCCAACTCATAGCGACCCTGTATAGGGTTTCCTAGGAGCGACTGGTGGGTTTGAACTTTTGACCTGTGATTAGCAATGCAATGCTTTTTCCATAGCACCACATCAGGACTCAGGAGATGGGACTGGACTTCCCAGGCCTCAGCTTGGGATCATGAAGAGTAAAGATTTTGGTGAGAGTGTAAAGGAGTAACTCAGAAAACAGCTGGCTGGCAGCCTTCCCTTTCAGATGTTACCGTGCTACAAGAAATAGGGAGAACTCAGCCAGAGGTGGCTCTCTTAAGGATTCAAGTTCAAACAGACTCATGACAAATATCAGGAATGAATAGCTTGTCAAGGTTACATCCCAATGAAAGATTTAAAGTCTCCTGCGTCCTACAAATGATGGTTGGTGGCTGATTTGGGGAACCTCAGCAGTCCCTTCCAGTGTTAAAAGGAATTGAGCAGTCTGAGTCAGTGAGAACATTGTACTGGGAGTTGGGGTTGCCCCAGCCTGTACTTTGTTTTTGGAGTCTTGGTGTGGCATTGTAAGATAAGCACTGGGCTGCTAACCACAAGGTCGACAGTTCAAACCCACCAGCCGCTCCTTGGAAACCCTATACAAGGTTGCTATGAGTCGGAACCAACTTGACAGTACTGAACAACCATACTATATTTTACTTTTGGGCAAGTCACAGAAAGGGGTCCCCCTCTGGGCTGACACAGTCCCACTGCATCTGCATTTAATGGGTCCAATGCCATTCCCCTTCCTCTCCCATCTTACACACACACTTATTCAGCCCAGGATCCTTTGCCAGCATGGTTCTAGGTTCCTATCTTAGCTGCTGGTGGTGGTTGTGTACCGTCCTGTCCTTTCCAACTCATAGCAACTCTGTATAAGGTTGCTGAGGCTGTAAATTTTTACGTGACCAGAAAACATCATCTTTCTCCTGTGGAGCAGCTGGTGGATTCGAACTGCTGACCTTATAGCTAGCAGCCCAACGTGTAACAGTTCTGTTTTCTTACTGAGCCTCAGTCTTCCTGGTAAAATGAAATGTTTGGCATCTAGAGGACTCTCCACGTACTCCACCTCCCATATATTTACTAGTTTGTGTATGGATCTGCCCCAGTACCTAGAATAGGTCTGACACCTTAGTAGGGGCTGAGCTGTCTGAATGAACAACTATAATAAAGATTGTTTCTCCCTGAAAGTACCTGGGATTCTAAGGAAGCTCAGAGTCGGGGCTATAGCCAGGGTTTAAAGCTTAGCAGCTTCATGACCTGAGAGCTTTTAGAAGTTGCAGTACATTTCCAAATGTAGGTCTGCCTTGAAGGGAGCAAGGAGGTGGCACCCGTGGGTAAAATCTTTTTTGCCTGGACAGCAGACATCTGGAGGTTGCCCATTGACTTGGCAG